AAAAAAGCTTCAATAGAATAGCTTCATTTAGAGATGGTAAATCATCAAGTTATACATGGAGATTTCGACTTACATCAAATGTGACAACACAACGTACAAAAAAGTTCTTAAAAAATTGCCTCTAAAAAAAACAAAACCAAAAGCAAATCATGTTATTAAAGGAGAGCCAAAACTCACCTTCTCTGTAAACTAAAACGTTTTCTGACATCCATGAACAGTTGGCAACACTGAGTATCAGAAAATACTACATGTGTTAAGGAGTGGATATGTAGTGTTCAAATCTTGAATTTACTGCATACATTTAGCCTTGAATCATTACACCTGACAGAAAGAAAAGGCAGTTCCCCCTCCCCCTTAGTTTTGGCCGTTAACGAGCAGAAACAGTCTCTAATTGCAATCAGCTTCAACAACTGCACTGCTGTAATTCCTATGCCACAAAGTCCAAAACACCAACACATGGGGGTCAAAATCTGTCAGCCACAGCTGCTCCACCAACACCGAGCCTCGATGCCTGGGGCTGCAGGGCTGGAAGGTGAGATCTGGGCCCATGCTCTGGGTGTAAACACAGTGCAATGGAAAAAAGACTCACAGCAACAAAGTCCTACCAGAAAGAACTTGGTGTGTTTTGATGTAGCAAGAGGCTCTATGCACAGTAAGGTAACTAAGTACTCCTGGTAATGTGCAGTACTGACATGTGTGTGTGCTCATGTCTGTAAGAAACATTCAGAATTAATCAGGAACCAAGGTGATTGTACCTCACTATAAGGCGGTTTGCTGTGGTTTGGTCTCATGGCTTTACCCACTTGTTTTCTCCTCGTTTGCAAGAACCTGACAGTCCCACCTTCACTGATAGTTGTGTGTTTTATGGCTACTTGCTTCCCAAAAAAAAAGCACAAGTTCTGTATGAAACAATATGTATATATCCCATTGAATCCCAATATCACCTATACATCCAATTTACATTCTTTTATCCTGAAAGCGATTCATATTTCGATTGCTTGACACAAGCTATTGACTGCAGAAGTGAAAGAACATAAAACAGTTCATTCTACACCTCCAACTGCCTGAGAAAGAAAAAATATTCTTCCAGTTTTATAAATTCATTCCTTATTTAGGATTTTTTTTTCCATTTGGCAGTTCCTTTGCTGCCAAACAACTTTTCAATGCTTTAATACACATTTAACAGAGCATGAAAACATAAGCTGAACAAAAGGTGCGTGAACAAGTTCCTTGATCTCTTACAGTTCCTCCTCCCTCCCCCAAAGAACAGGTCATCTCAGCCTCCCAGTCACAAACCTGATGGCAGCCAGTACAAAAATAAACCAATGGCTTAATGGAATGGGACTTCATGTGGCTGAAGGACAGGGGAACAGTAACCAGGCAAGTGAGCACAAAGGTATGGGCAGAGGCAAGTCCTTGGGAGGGGGGGAAAGTGGCACAAGTTAAGGATGAGAACTACAGCACAGTTTATAAACCCATGAGAATCACTTTTCTAATACTGTAAACTGCCAGAGTGGTGACACGTCACGGCTGCTCGGAGGTGTCCGCGCCAGGCTCGGGGCAGGAGGAGCGAGGATCCATGGCCGAGTGCATCAGGGGGATATACACATCATCCATGTTTGGCATGACAAAGATTTTCTGGGAAAAAATGCAATTAAACCCAGTTATGCTTTGCATTCACTCGAAACCTTAGTTTTCCAATTTAGTTCAAAAATGTGACAAACTCCCAGATCGAGGGTTCTGGAGTTGAGCACTGTCTGACCCAGTGACACTGACTGAAGCCTTTTTGCTGTGTTACAGTTGTAAATGAAGCTCAGAAATATGAAAACCTCTGCATGTTCCATTAAATTAAAATGTCACTATGGGAAACATCAGTTTTTCCTAACTGCTGCTTCCTCAGCTCCTACAGATACTCTCAAACTGTACTTCCAGTGAAACAAGCAGTTCTGATTTCAGGTTGAGTGCACAGGTTGGGTTGGGGTCCAGAATCAATCTGGTCAGTAAATTGTTTCCCTATCCTACACGTAGGTGGAGGGTTTTTTTATTTTGCACTATGGTCAATGAGATTTTTTAGTTATTTTAAAGGAAGTAGTGCCAGGACACCTTAGTGCCTCAACTGTTCTTAATTTCAGACAACAGTTTGGGCCTCTAAGAACACCTAGTTTTTATTTAAGTACTACAAATTCTACCATGGTACCTCTGTCAAAGAAATGGCATTTGCATCTCTAAAATATTCTGACCTGTGCTAAAACAGATTCCCACCCAGATCTACACAGTCTTGAGACCACTCCAGAGTCCATTTGAGGAGCAGTGAAGGACACACCAACTAGTCCTAAATGAAATATGGACATGCAAAAATAACTCCCCCCACACCTTTAATAGACCAAAACTGCCACTAATGAAATGAAAATGTACAGGAAACACACCTGGAACTCTTGTTCTAGTTTCTTCTCTATCCAGTCTGTCACATGAACCAGAGTCACTTCCCTCTCGCCGAGTTTGGGCCGTGCCTTCAGCTCCAGGTGTGGAGGCCGTCGGAAGCCGTACCTGGGGCACAGCAGGTTCTCCATCAACACTCCAGCCAAGTGACACTCAAATGTGTCACTCAAGCTGCTCTTAATAGCAGTTCCTACCTCATTTACAACTGGTTTGTATTGCACCTTGTCCAGAACCCATTTTAGCTTGAGTTAGCTTCTGTTAGCTGCAATTCCCTAGGCAGCACAGACAACCTGCAGCACTACCCCAACCCTGGCAGCGCTGCCCCAACCCTGGCAGCACTGCCCCAACCCTGGCACTGTTCATTCCAGGCTGGATGAGCCTTGAGCAACCTGCTCTGGTGGGAGATGTCCCTGTCCAGGGCAGGGAGTTGGGACTAGATGACCTCTAAGGTCCATTCCAACCCCTTAACACACTATTACATACTATGAGACCTGAAATGTTGCCCAGCTCTGCACTAAGTTCTTCTTACCATATCCTGTCAGTGGGTGGAGGTGGAATGTTAATCACTAGTGTTCCTCTGCACTCCTGTACTTCAACTGTTAGCAGCAATGGAGTATTGGAGACCTCTTCAATTTTCTTCTTGATAAACTCAGTCTCTGTTGCTTTCTGAAAGTATTTTGACTTGGTAATTTTATCCACAATTCTCATGATCTTACTTGTCCGATGTCCTCCAACATACCTAACAGACAGAGAACAGAAAAACATCAAGGTAATTTTCTTAAACCTACTCTTTGCTAAGACAGCTGTGGATTTTCCATTAAATCATTGAAGTTTTTGACACAAAAACTCTATAAACAGGTCTATGAGCAAGCAGCACCTAGCAGAGCCTGCACCCAGCAGCTCTACTCTGTCAGCTACAAGTGCCTGGTAGAAATTCTGTTCAGCCTCAACACTCCTCCCCAGATGGCATTGGAAACACAACATCTTTTAAAACTGCAAATACACTTCCATCACTCATGCCAGCACATTGGCATGAGAAGTGACAACTTGTCTGCTACCACTCCAACAGAATTGTGGAGACACCAAGACATATGCAACTCTCAGCAGCATGGAAGGCCAAACCATCATCTCAATTGTTTAACAGCACGTGCTGGACAAAAAGGTTTTCACTCTAAGGTATTGCAGCATTTACGATGAGTATAAAGGTGCTGAAGAGGAAAACAGTGTTGGCAGTGGGTGGAATGATATTCCAAAAATGGTGAAATATTCTGGAAAAAGAGGGATTTTCCTGGCAGTCGTGTCAGATGGTATCCTGGCTTTTAAAATAGATGCTTTAAGGGCTGAATATGGTTTTTCTCACCCCTATCTCATGCTGGAAATACACACTCCAAGAATAGCATATTTGGTGTTTTCCACACACTACATCAGACCTAATTGTGGCTCTTGATGTTACGTAGCAGATAACTTTCCTAAGGAAATGACATTTTCCTATCAGGAAAAAATAAAGAAAGCATTGTTACACAGAGAGTTTTCTCCTTAGCACAAGACAAGAACCTCCTCAGCTGATATAACAAGGCTGAATTAATTTCAACTCTAGGATTTTATACTAGCTGTATCTTTACCCACAAAAAAAGAGTTACTCTCTCGTCAGATTCTATAGTGGTAGTAATGCAGATTTTTGAGAGGTGTAAGAAAATTGTTTCAGTATTTTATATTAAAATTGCTTTCACTTTGTCTTCTTGATAAAGAGTTCTCTGTATGTGAATTTTTAGAAGATCTGAAATGCATCAATTGCAATAATTCCAACAATTCCTCATGCAGTTTTCAAAATGTTTAGGAGTAAGACTCTAAGGAAACTCCTTGGAGCACTGTGAATAAGTCCTGAGTCTTCTGGTATATTCACTGTAAAAATGAGAGATGTGTTCAGACATGGGAAACATTGAGATTGTCTGAGACATTGGGGCTGACTGCAGCTCGCTCATTGCATAATTGCAATCAGATGCAGAAAGCAAAAAAATCAGAACAGCAGCCAAAACAAAGAATGATGTGGCAACACTGATAGGAAATTTTCTTTGCAATCCATGCAGAGCATCAGAGGGCAGTGTTGCACAGCCCAGACACAGAGTCCTCAAGGAAAAAAACAGGCAAGGAAAGAAAACACCACCACAAAACAGAGAGAGAATGCTAAGCTTGAGTAACAGTTGTTTTCTTAGAGAAAACAAAATGGAACACTGGAAATAAGGGATCAGCAGGATCAGTGTGGGTATAATAGTGCATTCAGAGTAGTTCACACAAAACCTTGTTCTTGGCTCTGCTACCAGGCAAGACACACTGGGGAAGGTTCCCACAGGTTCTCTGCCCCAAGGACTCTCCCAGTAAGGTAACAGTGAAGGAACTGGGAGGCTCCAGCTGGAGCTCTGCACAGGTCAGTGCAGAGTGCAGCGTGGGGAAGAGCAGTGCTCTCAGCATGGCAGAACACAGCAGAGCAGCTTCCTTCCAGGCTGTGCCACTGGCCTGGCTGCTCCCTTTGCTGTGGAAATGGGTGAGTTGTGTTTATTTAACTGCTCTGCTGTACTCACACACTGACAGAGTGACACAGAGCACAACAGGAGTGGAGCAGGGATGGGGGAGGGAAGGATTAACAAACAGCTCACCCTTCTGCTCCTGGAGTCACCTGTTTCTCTCCTGCCACCTCAGGAGCATCATCCGGCGCTGGAGGACTCCTCATCGCTGTCTGCAAGACAATATGCCCTTGGCCTGAAACTGAAACAATGCAATTTCCAGGTTAAATGTAATATCCTGAAATAGCTATGAATCCTGCACAGCTTTGGCTGACATGACAGGGCTCTGAACTGTCCCCTCCTCCTTTCTATAAACGCTCAGAGAACAAACCCAGCCCCACTCTGAGGCTTGGCTGGCAGAACCAGCTCCAACACACACGATCTGTTTTCCCCAGTGCAATGTAATCCTGCATGAAAGAGGCTGGCAGGGGGGTGGCTATTTTACAGACTCAAATCAAAGGTGCAGATTATTCAAAATGCATTTGAAAGCATCCCTGGAGCTGCCCATGAGCTGAGCACTATGTGGGCAGGGCAGGTTGTTTTGTTTGAGCACCAAGGGAAAAGAAGGGGGAAAATAAAGTAATAAAATCAAACGAGTGCTGCTCTTAGGGTACAGAATACCACATGGTAGCAACTAATTCCTAGACTTGAACTATGGAAGAACCATGTACACAATCAGAGGCAAAAATTCAAATCTCTTAAACGGATTAAAATGAGGAAAGGAAACAGTGGATACACTTCAGTATTAACTGATCTCCACCAAAAGCAAAAGCTTCAAACAGTTACACAACACAAGCTTCAAAAGCATATGGCTCTAGCCCTCAGGGACTATACCCAAGACTATAATACTCTACAGCAGTTTAGAGCTGTGTCTTCTTTCTTTCTTTGTGTGTGTGTGTGTGTTCTTGGAAATGTATTTGCAGCATTCAATAACCTCACACAGGGCATGGACTGAGGCCACTGCTGCTATTCTGTACACAGAACAAACTGGGAGCTGCTGCAGGAGGTCCTAATGCAAAAGGACAGTTCAAGTGGAGCTCCCAGTGCACAGGATTCCTTTCCCAACTGCCTGTTTCAGGCCTGGAGCAGTAATAGCAGCATCTCTCCATGCTGAAGAATTTACTATCCAGCTATGGGATCAGAGTTGTAAACCTCCTCTCACCCAGAGATGCATTTTGTACCTGCAGGAGAGTGAAAGCACACCAAACTGAGTCACCTCCCAGAGGATGTGGGGGAAGGTGGATGGTTCCTGCCACTGGCCCAAATAGCAATGCTGGAGCTGTTTCTCAGGGAGAAAATTGTGTTTTTAGGCCAGATTCAAAGTAGATGTTTTATGCCAGGGTGTGAGCTCACTTCTTCTCCTGGGCACGTTGTACACCCAGCTCAAAGCATGTCCAGTGCATCCTCAGGCTCTCCAAGGGGTCACCTTCTGACAAGGAGGAGTTTCACCTAGGTGAAGGTGTTCCCTGAAGTGCCTCCCCAACATGCACCGACTGGCTCAGACCACAGGATTTCGTTGCATTAAACACAGCAGCAATAAATCAGCCTGAGTGAGATTTCAGGGGATCTCTGTGTACAAAGGACCATTTATATGACACAAACACTGGCAGCAAAAAACCCACTTTGGAGATACAGTATTGTTCCTGTGCAGATTGCACAGTATTTCATGAATTGCCATTTGTCAGTTTGTTTTCACATGGTACAACACAGGACTGATGGGGTGAGGAGCTGTGGTAACTTTGGTTAACCTGTCTGCATTTGTCTAATGTCCTGTATGTACTGCATTAATTTCATAAAACTGGCAATTAAATAGTTTTCTTCCCTTTTTGAGAGCTGCATTTGCCTGTGAGGTTGGCAATTAAATAGTTTTCTTCTGTTTTTGAGAGCTGCATTTGCCTGTGAGGACGTGCAGGGCAGCATCACCAAACTGAGTCCCAGCACACTTCACTTCTATTTCAAACAGCAAGTGCAACACTGACCCATTTGTCTCTCTTTACACTGACAACATCCACAGACAGCTAAACCCCAGAGCTTTCCCCCTCCCTCCTCTCTCGGGATGAGTAGGTGCCTTTCTCACACCAGTCTGTGGTTGCTGCATCTCAAGAGGTGGTTTGTTCTGGGCTCTTGAGGGACAGAGATGTGCGTCAGCACCCAACACGCACCACTGGCACACAATATGATCAGGGATGCAAACACATGCAGAATAGTTTGATCTGTCACAGCAACTGTCAACTGGCAATTAGAAAAGCCAGTAAAATTAAAATTAACCAACAGAGGGATACACAGATGAGCATCAAACTGTTCTATACTTCTCAGTCTTTGTTTGCTTGTAATATCCAATGTATTTAAGGGGAAAAAAAACAAGCAACCAAGCAACCAAAAAATCCTCATTCAAGCCAGAATCCATTGGGCTGCTCTCTGTGTAGAGCTGGTCCCTGGCCCTGAGTGTTTGAAACATCCCAGCCCTGTGCAGCTAATGCTGAAACCTTCAAGTAATCGGTTGCTTGGCTACAGGCACTTCCATCTGCCTTGCTGGGGGCTCATTGCTCAGCTAGCAGCAAGCTGGTTTGAAAATATCTAATCAATGTGCTCACTAATTATTTCTGAGGCCATTCCTGCACCCAACAGATATGAAAATACACGAAGAAAATCCTGAAGGCATGGGGAAGAAAAGCAAAAATCTGATTTGTATAGACATTTCCATCTCCCGTTTTTTGGGTGGGATTAAAGGGATTTTGAAAAACTCACACCTACCAATTATACTGATGTAAATTCAGAAACATTTCAAGCAGTGACAATGAGAATCTAGGTCGATTTTAAATCCTCTGAATTTCTACCAGAGTGTGAGATCATTCAGCCATTAGGGTTTTTCACATTTATTTTCTTGCCATGGCTGCACTGAAATATAATTCTGTTCTGAGTATTACTTCAAGATATCTCAGAATAAATGGTCAGAGCCATGATAGGAGTGTGCAAGGCATCTGGTACCTTAATTCTGAAAGCCCATAAGGTTGTATTCACAGCTAAACAAATGGCCAAATTTAGAGACTGGTTTTTGATTTACAGGCAGTGGTTTTACACCAGACCAGGGATCACCTGCTGTTCAGGCACTGCAGATCTGTTTAGTACAAAGAGAATACAGCACAACAAGAATGGGCACTCCACAGCTGATGGGTGGCTATTTGACAGGTGTCACTCACCAGGTTAATACAGATGGACAGGTTGATGAAATGCAAACAACATCACAAAAATGAGAGGGAAAGCACAAATACAAGTGAGGTAAGTTACTGTGTTTGCCAAATACAAAACACTTCACTGAGACATGGCAGGGCAATGACTGTCTATCTCCAGTGTTCAAGTCTTACTGCCTAAGACCCCAAATCGAGCATAAGACAAAACTAAATTTTAGCCACAGAACATTTTAAAACCCTACTAAAATATATATAAAAATAATTGTACCACAAAAGCCTTTTAAGCCAATTATCCATGGTATGATCATGGTTAAAGCTGCAGTGAAAGGCCACGGGTATGACTCCCCCACCAATTCCTTTTACTGCTGCAGAGCCAGAGCTTCATATAAGCAAGGAAAATTCCACTTTTTCACACTGAAAGCTTGAGCTTGATTCCATCACTGGAATCCCTTACCCTTCCTTGCCGATCTCACCAACTTTAAGTGCTTCACCAAGTGGCTCTTTACCAAGCTTGGTCAAGTTCATCTTGGTCTCCAGTGTCATTAGAAAAGATCCATTGTAGGACATTTCCAAATCAATCCATAGTCCTAAAACAAACAAAGAAAAGATGTCACTTTGAGAACAATCACAAAACAAGCTTATGGAACAGATACAAATCAAAGCCACACAAAGATGGAGCACCTAAGGATCTAAGAAAAGGAGTGTGATTTACACACACCTAAACTGCTTAAGAGACCTGAATCAAGGCAAAGAAAAGAGAATACAATCAGGGATTCACTTCAAAACTATTTACAGCACTGCTCCAAGCCAAACAGCAATGGGGACACTCCTCTACATTACTTCTGCTGTTCAAAGGAAGCAAAACTTGAAATCCCAGAGCAATGTTGTTGTCTCACACCACGACCTGCAGCCTCTTGTTTTGCCACTGGTGTATTAAGTATGGAAATGCTCCCTCAGTAACTGAGCTACAGGCCTTGTTTCATGACTCACAGCAAGCAGAGTCATTGCTCAGACAATTCTAGATGTGTGGCATTAAGTTAAACCCTCCTGTCTGCACAGACTACTCACTGCAATCACCAGAAGAGATGTTTGGGGAATAACTGCAGGATTAGGTCCTGCCTCTGAAGTGACCCCAGCTGAACAAAGCTGGAGGTATTTGTGATGCAGAGATCAGAAATCAGATGCCACCAAGCACAGGTTATGCATTTTGCTTTTCCAGCTGCACACAATGTGTCCTCACCACTACCTGGTACAACAGCCACAGCCACAGCCCACTTTAATTTACCTACTGAGAAGCAATTAGTAGTAATTTCTCTTTGGTTGATCTGGGAAAGATGCACTGTAACTGATAAACAACTACTGCTTTCTCTGCTGCAAAAACAGACCAGAAGAATGACACTGTCCCTCCTCACACCCATTTATGCTAACAGAAATACAGGTACAAGGACCAGGTCATGGATCTGGTGCCTTACTAACCCAAACTACTCCATCACACAGTTCTACCACCCCTCTAAAACCAAACACAAGCACCCAAAACTCAACCTTATACTGATTTTTCCTCTTTACAGGAAGAAAGTAGCAGCAAGATCACCAGAAACAAGAAAACGGCAAAACAGAGTTTGTAGATAATCGATGAGTCAGCACAATTCAAACATCAATATTGTTTTAACAGTAGATCAAATTAAGCAAAGGATACCATTACCAAGAGGGAAAATTCCTTCTGGCCAGAAAATGTTCATATGCATTTTCTGGAGGGGAAAAAAGGAGGTAGAGGAGGGAAAGGGAATGAAGAATTGGGCAGATGGTGCAACTGATTCAGTTTTCTGGTTCCTTAGCCTTGAATTACAGTAAATGTTACAGCATATGCTGGCACCCAAATGGGACTGTATTAGGAGAAACAAGACTTTTTTCCTAACATTGTCTGTTAATAAATGTAGTTACTTAGAGAAGCCATAGAATAAAAAATTTCCTTGGAATCAAGCACTGGTTAAAATTTATGTATGACACAGCCTGTCACAACTAGTAACTGCATTTTAAAGCCTCACAAAATGCTGCCTTAAATGACTGTCTCAAACACTTCAGTAAAAAAAAATAAAATCTTGGAGTTCATTCTGGATACTAAAGTGTTAGGATTTTTTGCCCCACGTGTGGTTTATTCAAAGGTCAACTCACCAATAAATACACTTATCCTTACAAAACTAAACACTTCCAATTATCATCCCCTTATTTATGTCCTTTTAAGTATAATATTGGAACAAGTTATTTCAGTAATTATTCACTGCAAACTCTTAAAAACTCAGAAACTAAGAGTTCACATGTCATTCAGTATGGAAGAAATCACATGGATTAGGAATTCTACCATAAACGTTTGCTTGTCACAGTTTAACTGAACGAGAAACTGAAGGAACTAATTAATCTCATTGCTGTTTCAGCAATTAATGGAAGCCAAGTGTCCAGCAGTCTCCTAAATCCCATCTCATGACTTAGAACTACAGTCTGTGATTGCAACTAAAGTTATGAGAACAGAGAAAGGAATTCCAAAAATGTTTCAATCTAGGCAAAGGGAAACACTGAAAAAAATCCCAAGGTTTGTTTAAAAGAAACCACGAAACCTCTTGGCAAGCATCATGCATGGAATGATTTTACAAAGTTTTCAATTTGTTCTGTAACTCCCAATAAAATCTGCACTGATGCTGAAGCCACTTTGCTGCTGGGAGCAGTGGAGGATGTTGGGGAGAACCTGCTGTCCCACGCAGGGAGCACAGGACAAGCAGCAGCTTTAGTTCCCCAATACTGATTGCAGCCCAGCTCATTCCCTCTCCTCAAATTTATTGCTCTTCAAAGGCAGATTTTGCTCCCCAGGACAACAAAACAGTTTTTTCTTGTCAAACATGCTGTTTATAAAGCTCAGAGAAAAACATATTTCCAAGAAGTTGAGAGCAAAGTACCCAGTGCTGCATATCTAAGGCTTTTCCACACACACCTGCAAGTCTCAAGGAGGTAAGGACAAACAATAGCATTTGGACACAACAGGCAGCACTAACCAGTGTTAGGTATGTCCAAGAGGATTTAAAGAATTCCCCAAAGTCTGTTTTGTTCACAGGGCTATGAGGGAAAGGTTAGCACTTCCTAACCTCACGCTTTTAGTCAGTGATCTGCATGGCACAAGGTTGTTAGTGCTAAAGTTCATTCATTTCCTCCTAAATTTCATGCATCTGGTGTTCTTGCCAAGGGCTGATGACAACTCTTCATCTGAGTTAGGAAGAGCACTGCAGTAAGAGTGGCAGACAAACATGTCTTACATCAAAAACTAATTAAATCAACCTTCAGACCACCAGGTCCAAACTACACAACGAGCAACGATGAAGCCTAAATCATTTCTAAGCATAAATTAGTTTGTTATCTGATATTCTGCACAGCTCAGTTCTCTCACAAATTCTCCATCCTCGGGAACCACTGGACCTTTCAGAGCAACGAGCAGCACTAAAACATTCAAGAGACAAATCACTTCAGTGGGAGAAATTCCCTCAAGCCCCTGTGAGTTGGGCACTGCAAGGAAGGACGTGGACTCACATCTGCTGTGTCCCCCACAGCCTCCTGCTCTGAGAAAACACCCCAGAAACACACAGGATCCTCTGACACAAGATAGTTTGCTCCTCACCTAGAAACTCTGTGCACTGGAGAGCTAATTAAGGCTGATCCGGGTGATTTTCACCTAATTATCTGTTCAGACTTTGCTCTGCCCATGTTTGTTGATATTGTTCCAAATATGCTGCTGGGATTTGAAGTTTGGCTCAGTGCTGGTCTGTAATTTAGAGCCACTACAGAGGGTTTTAACACTCATAACAAGTGTGTTAAATTCATTACATTCCTACCATCTCACTACTGCTTTATTTGCTTTAGCACCATCTAGAAATGATCTTGATATCTTCATCCAAGAGCTGAAAGATCAGTTTAAAACAAAAATAAGTTGCTTGCCATGCATAGCTGCACCACAACAGGTCCTCCAACAACTATTTCCCTTTAGACCAATTAGAAATTTCTCCACCTTGAGTGGAGAAACTCAGACATGATTTGAAATTAAAAACTGCTCTGATTACGCCTTAGATGAAAAATGGAATCTAGCTCTCCTCAGCACGAAGATTAAATATTTTTGAATCTAAAAAGCATTATCCCAAGGTTTTCTTTTTTTGTGAGATTACTTAAGTGACATGAGTATTCTCAGACACACTCCTGGGACCATGTGCAAGCCAGAAAACAGAAAAGAAAACAAACAGTTCTGATCCATAAAACAGCAGCATGAAAGTCACTCAACTTTAAAAAAAAAATCCATATTTAGTAGCAAGGACATAAAAAGATGCTGTATTTTGAAGTTTATTTTCAAAGCAACACTGTATTCTTGTTTTCCAAGGTATTACCATTATATTTGCTGTTTTCTGAACAGGTAACTTCTCTTGGAGAGCCAAACCTGCTCTCTGCTCTGGTGCAGAACCAGATCTGTCTCCAGGAGATGTGCACTGCTCTCTGCAGCCCAGGACACAGTATCAGATGTGTCTGCATCTCTCTTGCATGCAAATTTGAGTTTAGTTCAGTAATGATTTCCTATGGAAAGACATGATCATACTTCCACATCTACAGGATTATGTTATACCAAGCCTGAGGCAGAGACCCCTCAGAATAAGCTGCTCTCACATGTATCTTCCCCTGATTAAAACTTCCACAAGATAACCAGATCAAAATTGTGTTCTCCACAGCTACAGAGGCAGGAACTTGGCAGAACCAGAAGAGGAACGATGTATTTTACCTCTATGGTCAACAGAGGGTTTGAAGGCTTGAAGGATCTTCGGCACTGCTATCCCCATGTCCAGCTCAGTCAGAGTTAGCTCGTTCATGAAGTAGGGCAGCTAAAAGGACAGAGTACATGAAGTCAAACACATGTTACGGAACTAAACAGCAGTTTCCTGAGAGAAAAGTCACTGAACTTCAGGAATGGACTGAGCTGAAGAGCCACCAGTGAAAGAACACAAGTATAATTAGACAAATTTCTTCCATTTGTAGAATTTCACAGTTATCAGTTTCAGAGTGTTTTAGAGAGAGGTTCAGCGTCTGAGCTTGGTATGTTTTTAGAACTATACTGAAGTTCAGATGCTGACCTTAAACCTCCAGCATGCTTTTTAGTCAAAGCATGTGGAACGCTTGAGAGTGAAGTGTAAATCCTATTTCACCGTGAAAGACTTCTCTGGGTTTTAAATTCAGCCACGTATTTTATCACTGCAGCTATATCGACGTCTCAGCTACTTTTATCTTCGGAAAATTCTTTCATAGCACATTAGCTTTTAAATCTGTATCATAGTTTTAGTATAACAGAGGCCCAGAATTATGATTTGGGTACCTATTTACTGAAATATTTCCAATTGATAGAAAAATCTACTTCCTGTGGTCAAGACAGTGTTTTAACCCACCAATAACAAATCCATTCCCCATGCTCAGTCTTTCCACTTCAAATGTTCCCAATGAGATGTTTGGGGACCCTGCTGTCACAACTGTGCAAACAGACAGGGCAGAATTAGGTTACTGCTTATTTCCCAAAGCACAAGCAACACAACCTCACAGCTGGTGCTGGCAGCTAAATTTCAGAGCTTTTGTCAGCAAGACAACATCTTCCTTTGCCATTAGGAACAGGCAAACTCCTCCCCAGCCATCAGGAGCTGAACAGGCCTGTGATTAACTGCTGCTGCTCAAAAGGGTTGCAGAGGGCAAAGGGAAGATCCCAGAGTCATTCCAAGGCACATTTCTCCCTTCACCCTTGGAGCTTATGCAGCTGAGGGACAGCTGTATCCCCCACCCCATGGACAGCTCCTTCCATGACCACTACTCCCACTGACCTCTCCTTCAAGTAGTGCATGTCTGGAGTGAACAGAAACACATTAGAATTGGGGTTCCCTCATCTCCTCCACCTTACAAGCAATCTACTGCTTCCCAAAGCAGATTTCATCACTTTAAGCAGTTCTATTCATCCCTAAAGTAAATGCAATAATACTTCTACTTTTTACATAAAAATTTGACAAATTCAAATCACTCATCCAGTGTAGCTCATTTCAAACCCAAGCAGCAAAGTTAACATGTTGAGATCCATGAGAAGCTGAAGTGGAATTCTGTATCACATTTATTTACGTGTCTTTTATATCTAAGTGTGAAATAAGTCTTTCTTGTCCTGTTTTAAAACTATGTGTTTCATTTCCTTCCCAAGGAGCCTGTAGGGCAAGTCTCCAGATTAGGTACCTTTATTTTGCTGAGTTTCATTTGGATCTTCTTTGACACTAGATCAGACCAATACTTTTCTCCTAAAAAATCCCAAAATATTCTTCCAAGCAAAGCGTTCACCCAGGCCTCCTGTTCCTCTTCTTCAGCTTCCACATGGGCATCTGGCAACTGAAAACACAGAGCAGGTTACCCAGAGCAGTAAATTCTATGAACTAAGGGCAGAGAGGCCTCGTTTACACTGGAAGTTCAGTGCTAGAGCCCAGGTCAGCTCAGAACACCACAAGCTCACACAGAGAGCAGCTTTACAAACACATCAGCTGGGCTGCCACGAGCTTGTCATCATCCTGACATGCAACAGAGGGAACAAGACCACACAGATATAGATTAACCTCTGGCAGTGAAATGAGAAAGTTGTATGCAATGTAAGCTCTGGCAGTAAAAGCAGATAAACCCAGAGTGGGCAGAACAAATGTGTCTGCAGTAGAGATACTCTCTCCTCCCAGCTGATGGGGAAGAACAGGTACTCTGCTCTTCCTGTGATTTATCAAAAAATTGGAAAGCAAGACCTGATCTTACCTCTTTAAATCCAGTTCAGAAACATCACAGATAAATGATAAATAACCACACTACAGGGAAACACACTCTTCCTGTGTTTCTATACAGGATTCAGGAAACTATATTGTTCCCTCAAGGTTTTGTTTACAAAACAAAACAAGGTTTTGTTTACAGCCCGAGGTTTACCTGAGAACCATCAGAAAACACCTGGAACTATTCTACACTCAGATGTTGCATCACTGACTACACACACAAAAGCAAAGGCAGCTAAAATAATTTGGGGTGTGCACACTCACTATCAGGTATTGCATTAAAACCAGGAGGTTTCCATGAAGGAAAGACAACACATCCAATGTCTCTGGAGTGCCTGCAGTGACAGAAGGATTCACCACCTTCCACTGCTCCAGGCAGCAAGCCTGAGCCAGCAGAAAGCAGTGCTAGGAGCAGACAGGTAGATGCCACAGCTCTGCACATCCTTCCTGGCAGTGACACTTCCCACGCTGAGCCTGCGCAGCCACCGTGGCTGGGGCAGTGACGTGAGTCTCCTGCCAGCTCTGCTCATCTATTTATAGCACCACTTCTGACACGTGCCAGACTCAGCAGCCAATTCCTCACTGCTTCAGGGGCTGCTGGGGGCCAGAGTATCTGTGTTCCTGGCTGTTTATTCATATGCTGTGCCACAGCCTCCTGCTCCTCTCTGCCCATTGTATGCAGGTCTGGAAACAAAGATGCAGAACGTGAATTACATCTTTTAAACAAAGAGTGATGGTACTTAACACGAAGGATGCATTTATTAAGAGTGTTGTACTTAATACTAAGGTTGTTTACTGAGAGTGATTCAAACACAGTCCAGGAGGCAAAGGATTAGTGAGAGCTACAGACACTACTCAGTGCTGCTGGGGGAGGATGAGCATTACCTTTTTCACAGCTGTTGGGCTGCTATCTGCACTGAGGACTGGACTACCCGAAGGGCTTTTCTTTTCTTGTGGAATACACTTTGCCATATAGATATTGTACTCCAGGAGCATTTTCTGTCGCGTGTTGCCAACCAGGTCCTTGTGCTTGGGCTGGGAGGTGATTTCTTCTGCACTTCCCTTGCTGCTGCTCCGGCTGTGTGTGAGAGCTCCAGGCTGGGTGTCAGCTCTGCTGTGTGCTGGCAGGAGCCCTGAATGGAAAGCAATTAGAGCTGTTTAACAGAGAATGAATCTGACAGTCAAACAGCAGAGTGCATGAGCAAACACTGAAGGAACAAAATGGGTTTGCAGGTATAATTTATCCTGAAAAAAAGACCATTCATTGCACTCTCTCGTTTTGAAGGCTAACAGTAAATTCCACTCCTGTGTGCTTAGGTGGTCCTAACCCCAAATTAGCCAATATTTGGTATGATTCAGCACTCAGCAGGATGTGGGACTGGAGCAGTCAGCTGATCAATAGCATCTTTAAATATGGACACTCACGTCTGTATAACACATGGCAGAATTCCCAACAGCCCTGCTGGGGAATGCTGAAAATAAAAATCAGGTGATTCAAGTGTACCTATGACTAAACTTTTTTCCCCTAATCTAATTATAGGCTGTGACAATTAAAAGTACAGTCAAAAGCATGTAACTATTAGAATTTTAATTAGCCATTAATTTTGCATTTGCATTTCAAGAAGTTTCGTGCCAGAAATAATGATGGGAACCAATTTGTAAAAACCTTCTTGGAGAATAAAGACAGAAAAGCACATGAGTCATTCAGGTTTAAAATTATATCAGAGGATGGTTTAAAAAAATATTTCAAACATTTGATCAATACTATAGACAAACATGTTTGTTGGCTCAGGGATACATATATATTCAGACAGACAGATATTAGTGCAGGACTTGTTACTTAAACAGAAAAATGTGTTTTCTTATGACACTAACCCATGAGAAAGCTCTTTGCTGTTTACAGGAAACTAGAGTGGAAAGAAGGATGGAGGAGGAAAAATTGGTAATAAGAGAACTGAGTCTAATACTGCAAATGTTGACATCAGTTCCAACAGCACAGAGGGAAAAAAAAGATTGAGCAATTAATCCTTACAAATATTACAGGAGCTGTTACAGTCACCAAAAAAAAGTGAATTTGTATGAAGTAGTCGAAAAATAGCCACAAGAGCAGAAGGCACAAAGCCAAGCACAGGGGCAGGAGGAAAAGGCAGGGTGGGAATGAGGGGCCAAGATAAGGAGTGGGACAGTGTCGTTGGTATTACTTGCCTGGAAAGATCATTGTGGCTGCACCAAAACTGAACTTTGCTTTGATTCTTTGAACAGACACTTCTACTAGAACACAAAATGGGAGTACCTGGCTTGCCCCCACACGCACTGGGTGGTTTCTTCCCTTCTGACTTCAGCTTCGACGCGAGGAGGAACCTGTGGAACCATTCCTCCTTCTCCCTGCCCGTCCTTCCAAAGAGATACAGCACCTGATCCTTCTGGCTACTGCACTTGGCTCCATCCTGAGCTTTCTTGGACTCTTCGTTGTTTGAGTCCCCTTTTTCAGCAGGTAACTTTTCCTCTGCATTCTCTTTCTCAGCCTGGGCCTTAGCCATGAAGTCATCTTGCTTAGCAAGTTCAATGCAGATTGGGTATTTCTTATTCCAGATCCGTTTTCGGGCCAGACTCTTGGGAACCAGGGAAATCTGAAGGATAAATGAAAGGGTTAAATTGACTGATTTTTCAGTTGTATCCCACTTGACACTTCTGTAACCAATTGTGCAAGGATGGAGGGAAGTACTGGAAATTTTTCTAAGATACCATGGGGAACAACTGTCAATCAGATGTTGAATTGCCAAGTGTCAACTGTCAAGAGTCGAGTGCTCTTGCAGCATGTGACAGCTTTGCTTGTCTTCATGATGGGAAAACAAATCTAGGAGAGGCAGGAATCTAAGGTTCTGCTGTATCTTCTTCACCATCTTCCTTCAATGGAAGGCAGAGCCGAGAGCAAACCCTTTCCCATATGGACTCAGGGAAATGGAAGGAGGTTTTCCTCACTGTCACCTTGGTCCCTCTCTCCCTGTAACTCCCACAGTCAATACACACATAGTTTCCTCTTACATCTGTTCTGCCTCCACAGTCAATATAAGCATAGTTTCCTCTTACATCTGTTCTGCCAAGGCCTCAATTGATGCAGTACATTAAAAAAAATCCATTCTTTTAATAATGAGGTATTGATGCATTACTTAATACAATGCCAATGGAATCAAATTCACATGGCAACTCTTCACAGGGTACCTACAGCAAGTCACGGCTCCTCTCACTCTCCCCTTCCACATCACACACAAGGCATGTTCCCCCTTTGAGTGAAAAGCAAATGTTGCCCAAGGTACTCTGGGAGAGAGACAATCACCAGAGACTATGCATTTTGGTGTAAGTTCAGTGATCTTATGTGTGGAGAACAAGTCTCTGAGCTCCCATGTGCTAACTTCTGCTCTGAACTGACAGAAAAATCAGGCTTTTCCCTTATTGTGCAAACATGGGCTTTTTTTCCTAAATCCTGCTCAATCTTCTTCCCCAGCACAATCTTCTGCAAGTTAGTCACAACAACAGCTCTGTATACATAATGACAGAATATGAAAATAAAGCAGTGGAAAAAAATAATCAAAGTTTAAACCAAGTTGCCAAGTATTCTTTGTTGAAATCAGCTCTAAGTAAGGCACACTCACCTTGCTCTCTGTCAGTTCATAAATTTTCTGGCTGACGTATGTGACTTCAGGCTTTGGCTCATTGTACACAGCTCTCCTGGAGATATTTTTGTTGGGCTTGGAAAGTCGTAAGGTGCTTCCTTCGAGTCGCACGTACACAGAGTGAGTCAACGTAGCATGGTATGTTTCTGGATCATAATTATAAATCTCATTCATCCACCCCTAGAGAAGAAAATACTTGTTACCAGGCTTTTAAGCTGCTGGAAAACCAAGTACAGCATGTACCTAAAAACTTGAAACACCCAAGCTTTTTGCCTAAGTTAGTTCACTTAGCGCACAAATTGGAAGAGGCAGTAAATGTCCTAAATGAGGTGGGACCAAAGTGACAGAGCAGCAGATGGGGATGGTGTCCCAGGCACACAGTGTGTTATTCTGACAACATCCTCCTGTGTATGTAGTGCAGGGTGCTCTCACCCAACCTCTGTGAGCCCTGGTGGGACCTGCAGATGCTGGAAAAGCCACCAGGCAGGCAGGAGGGATGTGTGGCACAGCAGCTCTGTCTGCTTCCAGCAGGCACAGACATTTTAATCACCAACTGCCAAGGCAGAGCAAACAGCCTGTCTGCTTACAGACAGCACTGACATTTTAATCACCCACAATTAGGGCTGAGTGGAAGGCCACAAAGGAGTTTGCTTTCATGCACCATCACCGTTTGAGATCATTTCACGTGTTGTGTAACTGCCCAGTTACAACACAGGAGTCATACATGTGGATGGAATTCAATTAATTTCTGTGCAGCAAACAAACCAGCCAGCCCTGCTGTAACGAGCCTGCAAGTGCTAAGTGCTGACTCTGACCATGGGGTGATGTTACCCCTTGTCTCCACCATCTGATCACACACAGTGTGAGATGATAAACGGGGCAGAAGACAAACCACAACACTCATTCAAAGGGGAGAAGTTTGCCTCCTCTAAACCTGCCACACAACATACTTTGATAATTGCTCCTACCTGCACACCAGAGCCTTCAGTTCAGCACACTCAGTACTCATCAATGCCAACAGAAAGTAAAACGGAGCCTTTACAAACACCTGGGTGAGCCCACTGGGGGAAGTGGGAGCTGAACCAGCACCTCTGGTACTCCTCCAAACAAAGGTTGTAAGAACCTTATACAAAACATCCCCAGAACTACTGCAATGTTTCAACTTACTAAAGAAGTTTTCACCCACGCATAGAAATGTAAAATTTATTTTAATGCTCCTTTTCTTCAGAGCCATAGAATTTCTCACAGTAGACAGCACATGCTTTCCTAGGTGCCATAGTAACAGGGATATCTATGTTTTGCTTACTTCAACATCTCGCTCCATTTTCACTACAAACCCTGAAAAACCTAGATAAATTAGCATTTCTTTTATGTTCAGGAAAGAATAAGTCATTCATCTTTGCTTAGCTCCAAAGCAGATTACTTCTTTTATTAACAGAAATACCTATACCAGGACCTACTCTTTGAAGGACCTTTATGTTTGGGTTTTTTTTGTTTACACTGGTTTATATACAACAACCATATAGGAAATACAATGCACCAGGAAGAGTTTTCTCTAAGCCATCAAGCTCTGCACAGCAGGGGTGATGTTTGTTTGAGCACATCCCATCTCCTTCCTAGAAATTATTAAGCCAAGACATCTTTGAGCAGACAGCAATTAATTTTCAGCCAGGAACTCCAGCTGGATTTACTGAAGCACAAGGACATCACGAGAGTCGCCCAAAGGCACCGCGAGCCGTTCGCTCCGCGCAGAACTGGAATATCCATACGGCCCACAGATCTTTGGAGCGACTCCCACCTGCTCCCACATCAGCTCTCCAAGCTATTTCTAGCTCAGACACTGAAGTCTGGAGCCTGGGCAAATGTACAGATGGAAATTTGCTGCCTCAAAAGTTTACTGCCTTCTTCTGCAAGGCAGTTCGGCCAAACACCGACCAACTGGCACAAAGGGCTACATGGAAAGGGGATTTTACACGAGCCCTTTGTCTCACTCTAATGAGCTGTGAGGTTATGCAGTATGAGGGTTGGAAGCTTTCAGGTATGTGTGGCCCAAGAGGGAAGGTCAGAGTACACCTGACACTTCTTTACTGTCCTGCTCGAGCTGGAACTGGCTGGAGTTTGCTGCCTCCAGCACCTGAGCTCTGCGGAGAACAGGGAGTGATTTACTCATCATTCTCTTGACTCTCACATACCATAGTAAGGGGTAAAAATCCCTCCTGCTCTTCTGATCCCTACCATGTGCCCAGGCTTTCCACTTCAAACAAAGGGATTAGCTGTACACTCTGCCAAACACACAACCCTCCAACCCTGCAGTGCTGCCTGCCCTGCTCCCCGTGCCCAGCAGCAGAGCACACACCACTCTCACAGCACAACCACCACCCTGCCACCAACTGAAGAACCCCAGCAAGACTTCTAACAACGATCTCTGGCTGTCAAAAGTACTGAACTTACAAAATTTAGAAGATAACTACATTTACCACCGAGAAACAGCAGCTTACATAGTGATTTCTGCATGAGGAGGACACTGGGTGCCTCGTGCATTTGAGGCATAGCTCAAAAACAAAAGACACAAGTTTAAATTCAAATATTTGGTTGGGTTTTTTTTTCAGACAGTACCCAGCCAACCCAGTCAGGATGTAAGAGATATCTCATTACTACAAACCCTCCCTGTACATCCATTTTTAGTTTCCTAATTTCTGCAGATCCACTGCTTCTTTTCTGCACTCAACTTCCAAACTATTTTGTTATACAGAGAAACACTGCATGGCTGAGAGTGAAGTGTTAATACTTCACCAAACGATGGTTCTTCACTCTGTTCTGAACCTGAAAACGTGGGCCAGCTGCAGGAATTTTCTCCGTCCTCATATAACTAACTGTTAAAGGGGGTAACACCACCACCTGATTTCTCACTTTAGCAAGTGTCTGTTGTGGAAATTGTTCCATTTAGCTTAAAAAAATTGAGAAGGTTATCCAAGAAGCCCTAGAAGTCATTCCAAAGCCATTTTAGCAGAAATACCTCCGCCCCTCTTCTTGCAAAATGAAATTAGAACAAAAGATTCGCAGCCCACGGAAACCCTTTTGCAATGCACCCAAACAGAGAAGTTATGTTGCCATAACGTGCTAAACAACAGATAAATTTTCCCAAACTACTGAAACAACAATGGATTTCCTTGTGTAGGAGAGGAGGGACTGTATGATGGGTCTTTTTTGTACTAGCGAAGTTGTTAAAATAAGAAATTTAGTAATTCAGGGAGGACAATAACCATAGTCATATGGTGCTCTGCAGCTGCTCCCATTGACAGGGATCCTGTGATCTCCCTTTGTCAAGGTCAGCAGTGCTCTGGACTCACAGCTGAAAGCAGAACATGTCTCACCATCAGGCTGATAACGAACCTGAACCCACTGCCACAGCTCAGGGCTCACAGGCACTTACAGAAAACCATTTTAAAAGGCTTCCCCTCGTTTGCTTTTCCTCTGTCATCACTGGGCTCCACATTTTTTAGTCAAACTGCAATTCAGAGTAATTCATGCCAGCAAGAACTGCAACTGGGCCTTGCAGAGTACCAACTTTTTAGTAGTACTTAGTCTCAGTCATCTTTATACCATAACCTGAGAGAAGATGAGGTGCAACTGCAACAGATCCTTAGGAAGGACCTTGAGGGCACAGACCAGGTCTGCAAGTAAAAATAAATTACAGTATCACTTTTGATATATTCAAATACATAAATAAAAGAATCAACAAAATCCCAAATCTGGATTAAAACTGTCCCCAAAGTTTTTTTGTGATATTAACGGATTGATCACTATCCATCATCATGAAATGATATAATCAAAGCATCAACATTTTCTAAAGACTGTTGATCACTCATATCACACTATTTGTATTCCTATTCTTCTCATAACCACTATTTTATAGGGCTGCGATAGTATTTTGCTTTGATAAATGAGGAAAAATATAATGCACTTTTTGAGCTTTATTGACAGGGAATCTAAAGAGATTAAAAAAGGTCTAAGGTTGGAGAAGTCACCATCACCTTGACTGGAAAACACATTTGTCTGCCAGAGGCCACAATCAAACATGAAATCCCTTGGATGGTACTCAGGAATAGCATGTTGGTAGAAAGGCTCCTCTTCCTGCACAGCTGTGGCTCCAAGAGCTCCTTTCTCCAGCAGGCACTGCCACTGTGCTCTGCTCCTCAAAGTCCTTTCTAATGGAAAGGGTAAATTTACCATTTCCATTTCAGCTGTTACTTAAAACCTTTCGTCTCAGCCAGCACAGCACAAGGGAATGCACACTTGAGAGGCCAAGAAGGAAGTCAGAAAAGACTAATGCATTAAAGAAAAAAAAAATGTGGGCAGAGGGAGAAAAAAAAAAAAATGAAAAGGAGGCCAGAGAACTGACTAAGGGAATAAGCAGGTAAGAAAACATGCCATGAAGATGCAGAGGTTTTGTGCATTTTCTGGCTGGGGGATGTTCTCACCCAACACTAAAGATATTTGAGTGAATTAAGCACAGAAATCTACAGAAGAACACACTAACCAGCACAACTTTTTCCCTACGGCCAAGGAACAATTTCAGGGGAGAAAATAACAACATTCAAGTGTTTCAGTAATTGCTGAGGGAAATTTTCCACTAGTTCTTCAAACCAGGGAAATGCAAACTTCTCAAACAGTATTTACATGGGGGAGAACGTACACATACTGGTACAGAAATAGCTTGACAACAGTTTGGCAGAATCCCAACTCCTCAAGCCCCTTAAAGGGATCTTACTCACAGCATTTATCATAATTGCATGACAGCAGCCCAGGCCAGAAAACAAGACCAACAAGTTCTGCAGAGAACATCTTTAAGCAAGAGCATCAAGTTTGATTTTTCTATATTCACCTGAGTTTTGTAACAGATTAAGTCTTTGTCTCCTTTTTATAAGGATCTAAAGTGTCCAGTACTCATTTTGACAGATGCAAACAGAAAATAGTTGTATGAAGTGAGAATAATAACTTGAAATCTGCTAAATCATATTACGTTATGTTCCACTTCAATATGGGCACTGAGCTGGTTTTTAAACTCCTGAAGCTTTTACATATTAAGGAAAATTACTTTGTGTACTAATGAGCATAAGAAATACCCATCAGATCATAAAAAACATTAATCTACATTCATACAGACTTCTCCACACTGTCCATTTCTTGCCTACAGCCATTCTCAAAATGTATTTCCTGGATAAAAGTATTAAAATAGAGTTTAAAAGTTCTTGAAGAGCAGCTAAGACCTCAGAGACAGCTTAACAGCAGCCAATAATGACCATCAGGATCTTTACCAGCTTTCAAGTATTGATGCAAATTTACACCCAGGGTCTCAGCACCCAAATAACAAGGACAGAACTGAAAGTGTCAGGATTTGTACAGGTGAGCAGTCACACAACTGGTGATGTACCTTCAGAAAGCTCAATTCAATATTCACACCAACACGAGAAAGCATTCACAAAAGCTCTGATAAGTGATATCAAGTGAAGGTTGTGCCACGATCGTTCTGAAATGCTTCTGCTGCACAGCAGAAACTAGGAGATGCTTTATTGCTCAGAATTCTGCAGTTGGGTAAAGATTATTTTAATCCACCAGAGATGGAGATTAGGCAGGACAGGGACGAGAAGCACAAAGCCACTGAAGGACCTGAGTGGTTGTTTGGATCACAACTGCTCAGACAGCAACTTGCATTATCTGAACGAGACGGGGAAGGGCAAAGAGGAGGGAGGATGAATTTTCTAAGAGCTTCATTTCAGCTCCCAGGCACACATTTTGCTGAACTGTAATCCATATTATGCAGCACAACATTCAAGACAGCAGCATACAGAACCACAGACATCACAACCCACAAGTATGTCCCTTTCATCACTCATTCCTCCACTCTTTCTAATCAGCTCATGTTTGAGGAGAACCCACTTGCTCTCCAAAGCTCTATGCTGTACTTGAACACAACATTTTTGACTCTGCTTAGACTGAACAGACAAGACAGACAAATTACTGCCTAGACAGTAAAATATTTCAGAAACAAAATGCATCTCCCAAGATACAGCTTCTAGCACAAATGTTATTTCACACACTAAACTCTGACACTACTTGCTCTCAGTAGCTCAGCTGGATCATTTCAAATCCATCACCAAAACCATTTGCCTTTTTCGAGCAATTTTGCTTTTCTACAAATTCTTGAGGACACTGAAGTCTTACACATTCTTGGATACAAAAACCATTTGTGCCCCCACCAAAGCCACCTGACCCTAAAACAATACTCTGTTTACAAATGGGGATAATGCAGCTCATTTACACCTTCAGAATAAATCTAGTTTGCTCTTTCTACCCAAAATAACGCACACAGAGAAACACACAAAATTCCAGGACCTCACCTTCAGTATCTCAGGTTCTTTGATGTCCAGAGCTCCTGTATTCCATTGTTTTTTCATACTTGTATGCAATTTGAGATATTCATGAGTACGTGGAGTAAGAAGCCAAATCACACAGACAGCTACCATAAATCCAAGGGCCATTCCAAGTAAAAGTCCACTTAAGTAGCCAGGGAGAGGGATAATAAAGTAAGCATAGACTAACAGTGTTAAGAAGTATAAAGTTTTCACTGGTATTTTAGGCTGTTGCACATACAGATTATTTTCATCTTCACTACTGAGCATAGTAGCAGTTTCCTCAGTCACCTCAGGATCAACCAAAGTTTCAGTAGGTTTATCAGCTTTGCTTTCATCCTCTAGCATGAAAAAGTCTTCAGAATACAGTTCACAAAACTCCTCGTCCTCCCTGCTCGCTAGTGCAGACAATGAACATTTTTCAAGTACGAGTGAAGGTTTTGAACTCAGGTCCTTTGTGCTTGCAGACTGAGAGCTTTTGGTCTCCATCTCTTTAGCATGTTCCTCAGCCACTTTTGACTGATCCTTCCTGTTCAGCTGAGAGTCACTTCCATAGAAATCCCCTTCCGAATCACATTCTTCTTCTTTAATGCTGTAGTTGTTATTGCTTTCCAAATGGCCATTCAAACTGGAAAGGTTTGAGAGTTCTGAAGCACTTGAAGATAAGGCTTTGGGCCTGTGGCTACTACTTTCATCACCCATTATTTTACTGAGCAGCTGCAGAGGCTCGTAGATCACTTCAGAAAGGCGTCTTTTAGTATCCTCAATTTTAGCCTCCATTTCAGGGACTTTAAAAAAGGAACGAGTGTCAGAGGGAGATGTTAAGGGAGAGGAAGGGGCAGTTTTAGAATCGCCACCTGTAGCTCGAGGCTGAGTGAACTGTTTAAACAGATGCAAGTTCAGTTTCGAGTCAGGTGGCCTGTAAGACACAGCTTCAGACTCTTGTTTAGAAGTGTCTGTAGACAGAGATTTCACTAAGGTTTTCATTAACTGTCTATGTCTCATCGGTGGGGTGGGGTCTTTTGGCTCCACATCTGTTGAAAGCGACTTGACCAACCCCTTAAAAGGCTTTGAACTAGAAACTGTGGATGATCCACTGGAGCAGACAACTGACCTGGAAGGGGATGAGGATGGGGAAGACGACAGGCTGGATTTCTGTTCCACTGGTGGCGCCGCACCCGCTACGCTAACCGTCTGACATGAGTGTGACGAGGGAGACAGGACTAGTGGCACTGCACTCAACACTTGGGATGTGGAAGGAGAGTCCAACAGCTTTACAGTCTCTGCAGTTGGCAGAACTGCAGGCGATGAGGACAGCAGTGATGCAGAGTTGGCCATGTTAAGCGAGGTAGCTGGACCAGAAGAATCATGGCCGGTATGCTCAAAGCAGAGGTCTTCCTTGGCTTCAAGTGCTGTTACAATGCTTTGGTCATCTAGTTCCTCATCAACAAATTCCTTAAACTCCTCTTCCTCCTCTTCTTCCTCCTTCCCAAATGCAGAGAAATGAATAGTGATGGTTTCTCGGGAGACAGATCGTTGGACCTGCACTTTTGGTGTTGACTGCTTTGAGGACATTTCTCCAGTTTTCTCTGCATGTTTACTGTTCCGACTTGTCATTGCAGGTTCCAGAGATGTGTCAGAGTCTGTGAAAAAAACAGAATACCACGTCAAATGCATTCTTTTCCTGTTCAAATACCCATATTTTCAAGTGTTAAGCCAAACACAAGAGACAGGTTATTCACAACAGGTGAGTCAGCTGAAAATTAAAACCATCTGGACACTCTCCACCTCACTGGATTTACAGCTGTCTCATCAAATAATGGACTGTTACTAAAGAAATGCACCACAGATTTATTTCATTGCATAAAACATATCTCTATCTTAGTTAATACTCCCTTTGCATCTGCTTAACTATCTCCTTTTTATTATCACTGAATGCAAGAATAGATTCAAAGAAAGACAAGGAGAAAAACATGCTTAGGACAACTGGCAATCATGGAGAGGCATGGAGAGCATTATGAGACCTTCTCAGGGAAGAATGACACAATTTTAGGTAGAGAAAAAATCCAAACCCAACCGATAGAAACACCAAGCAGAAGATACTTATGCTCAGAATTACAGATCTAGGTTACTGTTTGCTACTTAACATATTTCCACATAGCACAAAATGACAATATTAACAAGTGCCATGCTGTTCTTCAAATGATCTTCAAGTGTTCTAAATTACAGCTCATCCCTGATGCACCACCTTTCTATTTTCCCCACCAGATGCACCTCTGAATTCCAGCAGCCTCATTCCATCCCAACATACTAAAGGTCTTCACTCCTAACTTTCAATTCCTTCTAAATACCATAATGCTTTATATTTCTTTTTTAAATAAAGCAAATTTGAAACTCAAAGCAAGGTCAGAAATACATAAAAGTCTTCATGTGTGGGAAGCACAATATTACAAGCATTTTAATGACCCACAGAAGTAGACTGGGGATATTACTCACATGAAAAGGAAATATCACCCCTTTAAACCAAGGCTCTGGTGACCATCCACAGAGATGGATCAGGAATTACAGGATTAGCTCTGGCTGTGAGGCAGCACTTTATCTCCATTGCCAAGACAGCGAGTTTACCACTTCAGTAAGTGAATTATTTTTCAGAAGCTGTTAAAATGCTGTAATCAAACTGTCAAGCTGAATTAATGAGAGGCCTGTGCTGACGTTTAAAGAGCAGTTCACAGGAATGACTATGTGTTGGAGAAGAAATGTGCACTTCACAAACACTTGTGGTATCAGATTGTATTATCCAACAAGCCACTGCCACCTGCTTGGCATCATCGTCCTGCTAAAGGTTGTAGCCTCTGTACTTGCTAAAGGAGCTGCTCATGGAAATGTGTTTTAATCTGTCAACAAAACTAGCTGGGCTAAACATTTCTCCACAGATCTTTGCTACCCAGTTTATCCAGCAATGCTGGAACAGAAGCAAGTACCTGTCTACAACTTCCTACTCATTATAGATGTCCATTTCATGGCTCCTAAATTGTTGGCTAGTTTCTCCCTTGCTGCTTCCAGCATTTGTGTGCTTCCCAGTCAGGCTGTACAGAAGGAGCTGGACTCTAACCTGCCTCATGTAAAACCTACAGAAATTGTAATTGCAGTTTTAGTCCCAGTTCTGCTGCACAGCTCAGGGAGGTGGTTTGGGTTCACACATTCAGACCCTGGTCATGTTTCACTTGACACCATTTCTCTGATAAACAGTATATGGGATAAAATTCTGCCTCAAGATCTAGTTATGGCTTCAGCTCTTACCATGGAACCGTTTTCTCCTGTCCTCCCCAAAATCCACCTGACATATCCAAGCAGCAGTGTTAACTCAGAACTCCTTTCCAGTGATGGAGCTGAACCTCCAGCCCATGTGAGGATCAAGGAGTTGTTCACCCCACTCTAAGAACTCTGGGCTATTCACAGTAGACATTTATATTTTTCAGTCATATGTATATATAACACAGTGAGTGCTAAACGTGGTAAGAAACTTGGCCTTTCATTTCCCAGTTGGATCAGCACACCTGGGAACCAGCAGATGCAGAACCCACTCTACCTGCAGGCACAGTTCCATCTCATGGAGTTCAAACTGCAAATTAGCAAACATTTTAGACAAATGCACCCAAATTTATTTTGGAGAGGGGAAAAAACTACTACTACACACGATATGTACCCGACCCCATTTCCATTTCCTTAGTGCTGGGCCACTGGCTGTCACACATCTTTGTTATTTTGGCCCAGTTGTGAAACTGCAAAACAAACCAAAACTTGAAAGTAAAAAAACCCCAACAAACATCATCTAGGTCACTGAGCCATTACAACACTATACACTAAGGAAGGAAAAAAACAAGCAAACCAAAACAAAAACCAACCCTAACCCCAAAAAAGCCCAAACAAAAAAAAAACCCCAACAAACCCTGTTGGCATCAGCTTGAAATGTCTGACCTTTTCTCTTCTGCCCATTAGGCACTAACCATGTACCAATAACCTAGGAAAGAGCATTTCCAGTGTGGTGTTTTGTATCAGCTGGAACTTCATGGGTTTGGTTAGCTCTTTCACACACTGTGTTTACTCTGGAAGTTAATCACCTGGTGTTTAAACAGTTGCCCCGCTGTGCTAATGCAGTGCTAATTACCTGAAACACACCAACTTCACTTGCACACACCAAATGTACTGAAAAAAAGATTTTGCTGCTTACTGAACAAACAAGATTTTCTTAACTTCATGACTGACTAGTTAACAGAAAGGAAGAAAATTCTTGATTAGTCAATATTTGCCTACCCTAAACATGTTACTATACCATGAATTATGTCTTATAAATGCACAGGTTTCCAACCCATTCCTGAGCATGATTTCTGGTTCATTGTGAAGGATTTTGGGTTTTCTTTTTCAAAGGAAATGCTGAGAAGCTTTTCCATGACAGCTCTTTCACCAGGTGTTTGGTTTTGATAACAAAGGTATTTTAACAGGTTCTCAAACCATACATTTTTACCCCTTAAATCATTCTAAATGATTCACTTCTTACATTTTCCCCTTTCTCCTACTCCTCAGCTCCTCTCCCAGCTGTCTGAAGCCCAGGTGTCCTCAGCCTCCCCACCTGAAGTGGCACAATTCCAGCCCAACTGTTTGCAGATTAGATCAGTACTTGCAAAACACAGGTTTTCATTGATCTTTCCTTTGAATTCCACACTCTCCTCACCTGCTCTGGCTGCCTCTTCAGGGGTTTTCTGTTGTTGATTCTGAAGATGCAAGGTATTAGTTTTATTTATGTGACAGGCAGGCCTCAATAATCACCTCAGATCCTCAGCCTACAAATGATTTGAAACCTGAACTTTTACCTGGAAGGGAAGAAGACTGCTCAGAAAATAATTCCTTTCCCCCAAAGGTTTGAACTTTGGATGCTTTTGCAGGGTGGAACGAGAGAGCTGCCAACCAACTGCTGACATTTCCACTTCTGACCTTGAGGCACTGCATCCCCATCACCCACAGAGCAGCAGTTTGTAATCCTCACCTACAGGCACTGCTTTCCAAGCCACAGCAACAGGAAACAGCAGCCAAACAGGGCACACACCTCTCTGGGAAGGGAAAACACTCCTTGCCCAGCCCTCTCCTAGGAGCAGGAGGCAGCTGAGTGCAGGAGCTGAGGCTGTGCTCTCACCCAGAGACATCTCCAGAATCTGGGATGCAGCTGCTGCTAACAGGGACACCTGGGGAGAGGCAGGTGTGGGGCAGGTTAGGCCAGGACACCCTCTCTAAGTGTTGCTACAGCAACATCTGCTCTTCCCCACACCAGGAATGACTAATTGGGAGTGTTTACAGAAGGGCAAAGCATCCAGTGATCTGTCCTTCTGCTCAACAGCAGAAACACCTTCTCCAGAACAGGCAAACCCTCCTCCTTTCCCTGCAGTGGACAAATACACACTAAACCCTTCTTCAGCTGAGCCCCAGGAGCCACCTGCTCAGCATGCTGAGAAAACACTCAAGGGCCTGCACAACTCTGTGCCAGCTTTACAGATACAGCAAGGCAATTATTTTCACATTAACAATTTAGAAAGTGACTCAAGCAACACAAAAAGCAGCAAATAGAAACCAACTTAAAAGGTCAAAGTTGCTAACAGATTTGTTTTAGCCACCCATGCACAGTTCAATTTGGCTACATTTACTAATTGAGGTATATTCAGTAGGGCAATTCAGTGCTGTTCATAATCATTCAGTTGGAGAAACAGGCCAGATTGGGTAACTCAATTCACATGCACTGCAGCAGCCAACTGTTCCAATCACATTGCTGTTCCTCATTGCAACATCTCCATGAGTGTGAAAGGGCACGAGGCATTAGCAAAACGTTTCATAAAAGTGTCCAGCAAGGTCCAGCACTTGTATTTTCCCTGCTTGTTGCTACTAAACACTGACCAAAACATGTGTTTTCCACAAAACAGAAATTCCTTTCCTCCTAAGTAAAGGACAAGCCTTACAGGTTATTAAACAGCACCATAACACTTTCCCCTGTACCTGTCAGTTGTGCCAGAAGAACAAGCTCTAAATGCTGCTCAGGAAGCCACTAATTTGATTAATTTGATCATCAGACAAAATTCCTTCTGTTAAGAGCTAGAAGTCTTCATTTCAGGTCCTTCAAAACAAAGCACAGTATTCCTGATCCATATCAGTTACAGTCTTTAGTTAAGCAAGGTTTAAAATAATCTGAAGTTGACATCTTCAATCATCCATCACCACTACTTTGCCACAGGAGTAGTCTAGAAAGCCAATTCCCACTTAGCCCAGAATGCCTGCCCTGAAGCAGAGAGCACAGCTGCTGGGACATTATCTGCCATGTGCCTTTCATCTCAATCAGCAGATCTATACCATAAAAGACAAAAAAAAAAGGTATACAAACCCCAAAATTCAACATTCTTTCCTATCCCCATTCAAATTTCTAATTATGACCAATTAAATTCCCCTGGCATCCCTGTGAGTTAATGCATTCCATGGTTAACATCTCTTGTTCCTTTTACATCCAGTAGTCATTACTTTTACATGAACTACAGAGCACGGGTTGGTAATTACAGTCACACAATAGCTCTGTGGAACCTTTGTGCCAGGGTCCA